GCAGCGCGACCAGAAGCAGCGCGGACAGCAGCACCGCGGGTAGCAGCGACAGCAGCAGCAGCAGCACCCAGGGCAGCAGCAGCACCCAGGGCAGCAGCAGCACCGAGGGCAGCACCGAGGGCAGCAGCACCGAGGGCAGCACCGAGTGGCAGCAGCACCGAGGGCAGCAGCACCCGGGGCAGCAGCAGCACTCCAGGCAGCAGCAGCAGCGAGGGCAGCACACCGGGATGTGGTGCCCGCTCTGAGCGCCCCGTCGCCGCTCCAGCCGGGGCTGCGCAGCCCCGCAGGGCGCCCATGGCGCTGAGCTCAGCRCAGCCGCCCACCGGCGGCCCCGACAGCGTCCCCGGGGAGGGCGCGCTGAGCCGGGGCCTGAGCGTGCTGGTGGGGCTGGCGCTGTGCGTGACCATGCTGGGGCTGGGCTGYGCCGTGGAGCTGGCGCAGCTGGGCGCGCAGCTGCGGCGCCCCGTGGGGGTGCTGCTGGCGCTGCTGGCGCAGTTCGCGGCCATGCCGCTGCTCGCCTTCCTGCTGGCGCTGCTCTTTGCCCTGGACGAGGTGGCGGCCGTGGCCGTGCTGCTGTGCGGCTCCTGCCCCGGCGGCAACCTCTCCAACCTCATGTCGCTGCTCGTCGACGGGGACATGAACCTCAGGTGGGTGCTGCACGGGGGGCATGTCCAGCCGGGAGGGTCACGGTGCCATTTCCCTTCCCGCCCAGGTCCCCACACGCGGCTCGAGGGCTGCGCATGGAGCCCTGTGGTCCCCAAAGCCGCCGCCACCCGACCCCGCGGTGACGCTCTCTCCCTCCTTGGCACAGCATCATCATGACGGCCTCCTCCACGCTGCTCGCCCTGCTCCTCATGCCGCTGTGCCTCTGGATCTACAGCCGCCACTGGATCAACACGACGCTGGTGCAGCTGCTGCCGCTGGGCGCCGTGAGCCTCACGCTGGCCAGCACCCTGCTGCCCATCGGCCTGGGGGTGCTCATCCGCCACCAGCGCCCCCGCGTCGCCGACCTCCTCGTCAAGGTAGGTGCTGTCCAGCGGGGCAGCGAGTGCGCCGGGCTGCGAGAGCGGCGCCTGCGTCCGGCCCCAACAGGCAGGATCATCGTTGCTACCGTATTTGTCTAGGTTGGGKTTTTTTTTGTTTGGTTGTGTTTTTTCATATAATTTTTAGATGTAGATGTTAGTGAATAGCTGCCCTTTTGTTACCCATCCGCAATAACTGCTGGGTGGGACAGGGGGTGGCCCAATGCAGCCCCGGGCGCGCTGCGCTTGAGCACAGTGCCTGCAGCCGTGAGGAGCCTCCCCACATGGGCTCCCCCGGGAGAATGCAATGACTAATTACACCCCTGAGGCAAACCCGACCTAAAAACGCAGACCTAAATGAGAGAGGCACGGAGGGAGCCCCCAGGCTTCCCTGCTCAAACCCAGGGCTCGCAAAACCGGCCCCCCTAGAGCAGGCAAATGGAAGGAGGCAGCGAGGTGCAAGCCCTGTGCCCCTAGGTCCCCAGCCCCAATGTGCTCCGGCCCTTCTCCTCCGGGGTTTGGCCAAGCAAAGGCTGTGCAGCCTCCCCGGGAGCCTCCCCTCGCTGCAGTGATTCCCTTGTGCTCCAATAACCGCGGCGCCGCCTGTGCCTCCCGCTGCCCCCCGCCAGGTTTCCCTGTGGTCCCTGCTGGTGACGCTGGTGATCCTGTTCATCCTCACGGGGACCATGCTGGGGCCGGAGCTGCTGGCACACATCCCCGCCGCCGTGTACGCCATCGCGCTGCTCATGCCCCTGGCCGGCTACGCGCTGGGCTACGGCCTGGCCACGCTCTTCGCGCTGCCGCCGCACTGCAGGAGGACAGTGTCCCTGGAGACGGGCTGCCAGAACGTCCAGCTGTGCACGGCCATCCTGAAGCTCACCTTCCCGCCGCAGCTCATCGGCAGCATGTACATGTTCCCCCTGCTCTACGCGCTCTTCCAGGCGGCCGAGGCCGGCCTCTTCGTGCTGGCGTACAAGATGTACGGGAGGGAGGGCTACAAGCCAGACGCCCTCGGCGAGGAGGAAGACACGGATATTTCCTACAAGAAACTAAAAGAGGAGGAGGTGCCCGATACCTCCTACGGCACCGTGGCCGCGGAGGAGCGYGGCTCTGCGCAGCTGGAGGCGGCGCAGACGGCGCTTTAGCCGGCGCGCGGGGCCGTGGGGCGCTTGCTGCCAGCTCCGCTTGCCCGCGGGCTCCCGGCCGCGCCGCTGCGCCCGCCGCCCCGGCCGCTCCCGCCCTGCAAGGTGATGTGTGCTTAGTGCCGTGCCTCTTGCATCCCCCGACATACGTGTACGAACAAAACCAAACAAGAAGTATAAAAAAGCAAACCCTGGCGATGCCAAACTGACTGCGCGCGGCGCGAGGAGGGGAGGCTCCCGGCGGGGACGGGCACATGGAGGGGACGAAACCCTGGCGGAGCGGCGGGCCGGGCTCGTGGCCCTGTCCCCAGCCCCGCGCGCCCCATCCCGCCCGACAGCAGCTAAACGGGAGAGGCGGCACCGGGAGCCCCGGGCTTCCCTCGCGGGGGCGCGAGGCAGGGAGGGACGTCGGGCCGGGCCGAGTCGGGCCGGGCCGAGTTGAGTCGAGTCGGGCCGGGTCGGGTCGGGCCGAGTTGAGTCGAGTCGAGTTGGGCCGGGCCGGGTCGGGTCGGGCCGGGTCGGGCCGAGTTGAGTCGAGTCGAGTTGGGCCGGGTCGGGTCGGGCCGGGGGGAGGGCCCCGCCCCCGCCCCGCCCGCGCGGCTGGGCCGGTCCCGGTTCGCCCCGTCCCGTCCCGGGGGTACTTAGCGCCGTCGGGGCGGCGCGCGGGCGGCGCCATGGCGGAGGAGGAGGCCATGGAGAGCTACCTGTGCGCCGCCTACGCGCCCTGCTCCTACCGCTACCCGCCGCCCAAGGGCAAGGGCGGCGCGGCGGGCGGCTGGCGCGCGCGGCCCGGCTACCTGGCCGCCTACGGCGACGCGGCCGCCGCCGCCGCCGAGTACTTCGACAACTACCAGCGCGCKCAGCTGCGCGCCATCCTCTCGCAGGTGAACCCCGGCCTGACGCCGCGGCTGCGCAAGGCCAACACCAAGGAGGTGGGCGTGCAGGTGAACCCGCGCCAGGACGCCGCCGTGCAGTGCTCGCTCGGGCCGCGCACGCTGCCGCCGCGCCGCCGCCCCGCGGAGCGGGAACGGGAGCAGGAGCGGGAGCAGGAGCAGGAGCAGGGCAGCCCCGCCACGACGAGCACGCGCGCCGTGCGCTTCCCCCGCACCATCGCCGTGTACTCGCCCGTGGCCTCCCGCAGACTCACCGCCTTCCTGGAGGAGCCGGGCGCCGAGGCGGAGCGGCGCCCGCGGGACGCGCCGCCCGCCCCGC